TCCCTAAAGTTATCACATTGCTAAGTATTAAAAGGGGGAGAAGATAGTGGCATGTAGGTTAAGACAATGCCCCTTCTTGAGACAGGCATGCCAAGGGAATTTGAGTAAGGAATCCCTCATTCTAATCTATCTAGGTCAGGGGTCCTCAAACTAAGGCCCCGAGGCCGGATACGGCCCTCCAAGGTCATTTACAAGTCTGAAATGACTTGAAAGCACACAACAACAGCAATCCTATCTCATCAGCCAAAAGCAGGCCCACACTTCCCATTGAAATACTAATAAGTTTATATTTGTTAAAATTATTCTTCGTTTTAATTATTGTATTGTTTTAAGTGCTTTTTACATTACAAATAAGATAGGTGCTGTGTGCATAGGAATTCACTCATTTTTTTCAGATTATAATCCAGCCTTCCAACAGTTTGAGGGACTGTGACCTGGCCTTCTGTTTAAAAAGTTTGAGGACCCCTGATCTAGGCCAACTAGCTTGTACATATGTCACACATGATTTTTGTGTGTACACAAATTTTCATTTTGCGTTCTTCATACTCTCTGGAGGTTTTAAGCAGAGGCTGGATGGCCATGTGTCAGGAACGATCTGATTGTGTGTTTCTGCATGGTAGAATGGAGTTGGACTGGATAGCCCTTGAGCCCTCTTCTAAGAGCCCTTCCACACATCCATATAATCAAGAATATCAAGGCAGATAATCCACAATATGTGCTTTGAACTGGATTATCTGAGTCCACACTGCCATATAATATAGTGCAATGTGGGTTCTATACAGTTGTGTGGGCCTTACTCTATGATTTACACCTAAATAGGTAGAGTTTTTGTTTTGTAATGGCGCATCAGAAATGTCACTGATTTTCTGGGTAAATTCCATGTAAAACTTATTCAGGTACATGTATGTAAGGTCTGCGTGGGGACATTTTTTATCACAATATCTTTTGCAGGATTCTACTTATTTGTGGATAAAGTTTAAATCAGCAAGTTACTATACTGTCTATTGGATAGCAGCATGTATTTTCTATATGTGGTTTTCTGCCACCTGCATATTTGGCCATAGTTGGGGTCGCATTTCAGTGAACCTGCAAATTGCTTGAAATATAATATAAAAGGACCTCCAAGGCAGAGCCAAGGCGGAAGGCCCTTGCTCCCTAGGGATGGCTCCAGGTATTGGATTCCTTACCTTTGCAATTTGAGCCCTTCTCTGAATTCAAAGACACTGTGTTAGTCTGGAATATCAACACGCAAAGGGATCTTGTAGCACCTTTGAGACTGAGAATGGAATGACAGCTTGCTGCTAGCACTTGTTGAGAAAGATGCTGTCAGATTTTGCCTGGAAAAGTGCCTTAAAGGAGCTCATGGACTTTCTACTCCATTCAGCTGAATTTGGTCCTTTCCGTGTTGAGCCACAAGGAGAGTCAGGGTCATAAATAACGTGTTATTGTTGTTGCTGTTACCTCCATTGGGGCAGAACTTGTAGTTCTGTTAATCTGGAATATCAGTATGGATATTGCAGCAATTTGGGACCAACTATGGAATGACAGCTTGTGGATTTTCGATATGGGAAAAAAAGAGCTTAATCTCTAGATTATATAAATACATTCTAGAATATAATCTAGAAGACAATAGAATAAAACCTGCCACGATTTATCAGGCCAGAGACTTGGGGGAAAACATAGAGTTAGATAAATGAGAGTACCTCTGGGGAAAACATAATTTAAATTATCAATAGCAGGGTCAATTAGAGAGAATTTATACAAAATGTTTTACAGAAGTTATATAACAGTATGGAAAGGGATATTGTAGTTATTTGGGACTAATCCTATGGAATGAGAAGCTTGTTGCTTACATTTATTGATGTCTGTCTCTGAGGCCCCTTCCACACAGCTGAATAAAATCCCACAAAATTTGCTTTGAACTGGAATATATGGCAGTGTGTGGACTCCGAGCTATATCCCAGAATATCAAGGGAGAAAATCCCACATTATCTGAGTGTGGACACAGATAACCCAGGGCCCTTCCACACAGCCCTATAACCCAGAAAATCAAGTCAGAAAATCCCACAATATCTGCTTTGGACTGGATTATCTGAGTCCACAATAAGATAATGTGGGATTTTCTGTCTTGATATTTCGGGATATAGAGATGTGTAGAAGGACCCCCAGTTCAAAGCTGATATTGTGGGATTATTTGCCTTGATATTCTGGGATATAGGGCTGTGGGGAAGGACACTCAGATAACCCAGTTAAAAGCAGATATTGTGGGATTTTCTGCCTTGATATACTGGATTAAACGGCTGTTTGGAAGGGCCCTTGTGAAGCTACAACTCCCAGGATTCCATAGCATTGCATCATGGCAGTGGAAGTGGTGTAAAACTGCATTCCTCTTGCAGCATATCTCCTGGGCAAGGGCCCTAAAGAAGTGAGTGGATTTCCATTCCATCTGGCCAGGGAAGCAGAACTCATAGGGCCTTTCTACACAGCCCTATATCCCAGAATATCAAGGCAGAAAATCCCACATTATCTGAGTGCAGACTCAGATAACCCAGTTCAAAGCAGATATGGTGGATTTTCTGCCTTGATATTCTGGGATATAGGGTTGTGTGGAAAGACCCAAAATCCACACTCAGATATGGTGGGATTTTCTGCCTTGATATTCTGGGATATAGGGCTGTGTGGAAGGGCCCATAGACCTGTGAATCTAAAATATCAATACACAAAAGAATCTTGCAGCAGTTTTGAAACTAATATGGAATGACATCCTGTTGTTTGGACTTGTTGGGAAAGAGGATGTCTGTCTGTAGCTGGCCAAGTGCCTAAGAAGTGCCTAATGGACTTCCCACTCCATCCGGCCATGGAAGGACAATTTATAGCTGGTTAGTCTGGAATGTCAGTTAGCAATGGGATCCTGTAGCATTTTAGAACGTCAGGCCCCTTCTACACTGCCATATAAGATCCAAATCATCTGCTTTGAACTGGATTATATGGCAGTGTAGACTCATATAATCCAGTTCAAAGCAGATAATGTGGATTATCTACACTGCCATATAAAATCCAGATTATCTGCTTTGAACTGGATTACATGGCAGTGTAGATTAATATAATCCAGTTCAAAGCAGATGTGGATTATCTGGTTTGATAATCTGGTTTATATGGAAGTGTAGAAGATGCCTTAGAAACTGTAGCCCCTTCCACACAACTGTATAAAATCCATGTTGATCTGGACTATATGGCAGCGTGGACTCAGATAATCCAGCCCAAAGCAGATGTTGTGGATTATCTGCCTTGATATTCGGGGTTATATGGAAGGGCCCTAACTTTATGGACATTCGCTCCCTTTCTACACTGACATATAATTCAGATTATCAAAACCTATCATCCACATGATCGGATTTGAACTGGATTATATGCGTCTATACGGCCATATAATCCAGTTCAAAACAGATCATCCACCTTGTGTGGAAGGGGCCCTAGAGTTCATATGGCAGTGTAGATGGGGCCTCTGTTGCTCGTACTTGTTGGGAAAGCTGATGCTTTTCTCTACCTGGGCAAAGAGCCTTAATTTTGGGCCCTTCCACACAGCCCTATATTCCAGGATATCAAGGTAGAAAATCCCACAATATCTGCTTTGAACTGGGTTAGCTGAGTCCACACTCTGATAATGTGGGGTTTTCTGCCTTGATATTCTGGGATATAGGCCTTGTCTCTCTCCTGAGGAATCTGTATAAGGACCAAGTAGCAACAGTAAGAACTGACCATGGAACAACAGACTGGTTCAAGATTGGGAAAGGCGTGCGGCAGGGTTGCATACTCAAACCCAACCTATTCAACTTGTATGCAGAACACATCATGTGATGTGCGGGGCTTGATGAATGTAAGGCTGGAGTGAAAATTGCTGGAAGAAACATTAGCAACCTTATATATGCAGATGACACCACTTTGATGGTCGAAAGCAAGGAGGAGCTGAGAAGCCTTCTAATCAAGGTGAAAGAAGAAAGCGCAAAAACTGGGTTGCAATTAAACATAAAAAAAACAAACACAAGATTATGGCAACAAGAATGGGTGACAACTGGGAAATAGAGGGAGAAAAAGTGGAGGCCGTGACAGACTTTGTATTTCTAGGTGCAAAGATTACTGCAGACGCAGACTGTGGCCAGGAAATCAGGAGACGCTTCCTCCTTGGGTGGAGAGCAATGTCCAATCTCGGTAAGATAGTGAAAAGTAGAGACATCACACTGGATTCGAAGATCTGCATAGTTAAACCAATGGTATTGCCCATAGTCATGTACGGATGTGAGAGCTGGACCATAGGGAAGACTGAGCAAAGGAAGATAGATGCTTTTCAACTGTGGTGTTGGAGGAAAGTGCTGAGAGTGCCTTGGACTGTGAGAAGATCCAACCAGTCCAACTTCAGGAAATAAAGCCCGACTGCTCATTGGAGGGAAGGATAGTAGAGGCCAAGATGAAGTACTTTGGCCACATCATGAGGAGAAAGGAAAGCTTAGAGAAGACAATGATGCTGGGGAAAATGGAAGGGAAAAAGAAGAGGGGCCAACCAAGGGCAAGATGGATGGATGGCATACTTGAAGTGACTGGATTGACCTTGAAGGAGCTGGGGGTGGTGACGACCGGCAGGGAGCTCTGGCGTGGGCTGGTCCATGAGGTCACAAAGAGTCAGAAACGACTGAACGAATGAACAGCAACAAACAGGGCTGTGGGGAAGGGCCCTACGTGCTTCCCGTGCAAGAAGATCTTTGGGCTGGCCTCAAAGTTCCTCCCAAATCCCTTTGCCTCCTTCTCCTCCTCTTCCTTGGTGCTTTACTTTCCTTCCCAGCGAACATCTCCCACTTACTTTCCTCCAGCCTCAATTCCTTCCCCTCCTTTGGGAACTACTCCTCCCACAATCTCTTCCGCCGCGCGGATCCCTGGAAGTTGGAGTCCCTTGGCTCGGCGGGCGCCCTTTGCGAGCGGGAGGCGGGCACTACATCTCCCAGCATCCCTGGCGGGCGGCCTTGCCCCCGCCTCCCCCAGCTGGCTCGAAGGCTCTGCTTGTTGTTGTTGTTGCTGCAAGGTTAGTGAGTGGACCAGCTGGTTGCTCCCTGGGTAAGAGACGTCTTCGCTGTTGGGGAAGGGGGACCCTCTGGCTCTGCTCTCTCTCCTCCCTTCGCCTGCCTTGGCCGCCTTTCCCAGGAGCGGGGGGGAAGGATTTCGGGGTGCTTTGGGGGAGGCACCCCCTGCCCCCCCCCCCCCCCACTCTTTAGTTCATATGTGTTGTATAATCACGTTACACATTGGGCATCACCAAAGAAGACGAAGAAAAAGGAGGGGGAGCCTTGGCCCTGAATGTCCACGTCCTCATTTCATCGCTGTAGGAAAAGTGGGAGGAGAGCCGATTCTAAAGCCCGGGCCAAAGGCTTCTGCAGGCCTTCCTCTCTGGAAACGAGGCCGAGGTGGGGAAAGCCAGGGGAGGAAGGCCTGCAAAGGCAAACAGGGGGCTCTTTCCTCACTGCCTTGGCTGCTTTCTCCCTTCTGGTCTGCTGCACACACACAACCCTCCAGAATGGGCCACTTCTGAGGCCCCTTCCACACTGCCATAGCATCCAAATCAGATAATCCATTTTGTCTGCTTTGGATTATATGAGTCCATACTGTCACATCATCCACTTCGAAGCAGATGATCCGGATTTTATATGGCAGTGTAAAAGCCCTTCCAGACAGGCCCAATATCCCAGGATCTGATCCCAGGCTTTCTGTTTATCCCAGGCCCCTTCCACACAGCTGAATAATATCCCACAGTATCTGCTTTAAACTGGAATATATAGCGATGTGAACTCAGATATTGTGGGTTTTTCTGCCTTGATATTCTGGGTTATAGGTCTGTGTGGAAGGGCCCTATATCCCAGGATATCAAGGCAGAAAATCCCACAATATCTGCTTTGAACTGGGTTATCTAAGTCCACACTCTGACAACCTGAGATGTTCTGTCTTGATATTCTGGGTTATAGGGCTGTGTGGAAGGGCCCTATATCCCAGGATATCAAGGTAAAAAATCCCACAATATCTGCTTTGAACTGTGTTATTTGAGTCCACACTCTGATAATGTGGGATTTTTCTGCCTTGATATTCTGGGATATAGAGCTGTGTGAAAGGGCCCTGAGTCCACACTCAGATAATGTGGGGTTTCTGCCTTCATATTCTGGTTTATCTGTGGAAGGGCCCTATATCCCAGGATATCAAGGCAGAAAATCCCACAATATCTGCTTTGAACTGGGTTATCTGAGCCCACACTCAGATAATGTTCGATTTGCTGCCATGATATTCTGAGATATAGGGCCCTGAGTCCACACTCAGATAATGTGGGGTTTTCTACCTTGATATTCTGGGTTATATGGTTGTACGGAAGGGCCCCCAGATTATCTGCCAGTGTAGACTTATATAATCCAGTGTAAGGCAGAAAACTTGGAATCAGATCCTGGGATATAGGACCTGTCTGGAAGGGCCCTGAGACATCTTCTACACAGCTGAATAAAACCCCACAGTATCTGCTTTGAACTGGAATATATGGCAGTGTGGACTCAGATAACCCAGCTCAAAGCAGATATTGTGGAATTTTATCCCTTGATATTCTGGATATTGGGCTATGTGGAAGGGCCCTGAGACAATCTCAAACCTCCCCCCCCCCTTTTTCTCTCTCTCTCTTTCTGATCTCCTTTATGTGCCTACAATTTAGGCCCTCCATGGTCACATCCACTTAGTAGAATTGATGCAGTTTGACCCTACCTGAACTACCCCGGCTCAAAGAGATGGAAACATTTTTTAAAATTTTTTTGTATATGTGATGGTTTGTAATTTGAGTCGATATTGACCCCTTCCACACAGCTAAATTAAATCCCACATTTTCTGCTTTGAACTGGAATATATGACAGCACGGACTCAGATATTCCAGTTCAATGCAGATATTGTGGGATTTTCTGCTTTGATATTCTGGGTTATATGGCTGTGTGGAAGAGCCCATTGTCTTATGTTTGAACTACTGTTCGCTGCTCTTGAGTCTTTCTAAGAGGGAGAGAGGGCAGAATTTAAAACAAAGTAAATAAATAAAAATAAATCATAGGAGTTGTAATTTAATGAGGCACCAGCACTCTCTTAGGCCCCATCTACACTGTCATATAATATTCAGATTATTTTCTTTAAACTGGATTATATGGCAGTGTAGATTCATGTAGTCCAGTTCAAAGCAGATAGTGTGGATTATCTGCTTTGATAATTTGGATTTTATGGCAGTGTAGAAGGGTCCTTAAAGAGGGGGATTAAGACCTTGTAGGGCCCCTTCCACAGAGTTGTATAAAATTCACATTGAACTGGATTATATGGCAATGTGGACTCAGATAACCCAGTTCACTGCAGATATTTGCGGTGCCCCCGGTGGCGCAGTGGGTTAAACCCCTGTGCCGGCAGGATTGAAGACCGACAGGTCGCAGGTTCGAATCCAGGGAGAGGCGGATGAGCTCCCTCTATCAGCTCCAGCTCCTCATGCGGGGACATGAGAGAAGCCTCCCACAAGGATGATAAAAACATCAAATCATCCGGGCGTCCCCTGGGCAAGGTCCTTGCAGACGGCCAATTCTCTCACACCAGAAGCGACTTGCAGTTTCTCAAGTCACTCCTGACACGACAAAAAAAATGCAGATATTGTGGATTATCTGCCTTGATATTCTGGGTTATATAACTGTGTGGAAGGGCCCTAAGACTACAACTCCCAGGCTTCCATATCATTGGGCCATAGCAATTATAAGACATCAGAACTTTTTTAAAAAAATCTTGGTATCTTGGTTTTTAGGCCTGTTCCTGTTTCACTGATGCAGAAGATTGCACTGGACTCACTACATCATATCTAGGCCACTTCTACATTGCCATATAATCCACATTATCAAAGCTGATAGTTCATATTATCTGCTTTGAACTGGATTATATGATTCCATGCTGCCATATAATCCAGTTCAAAGAAGATAATCTGGATTTTATATGGCAGTGCAGAAGGGGCCTCAGTATCAAACTGCATTAATTCTACAGTGTAGATGTGCCCCATAGCTGTGCATGGCAAGCATAACCACTCCTATGTCTCTCTTATTGTGTCTGAGCGAAAGCGTGCACACACATTGACACACACAAACAAAAAGTGAAATCTGTGCCAGAGCTGTGTTAGAGAAAGGGAGAGTGTCCTGACGCTTGCACTTTCTTGGAACACCAGTCTCCTTTGTTTGGCTTTGGAGCTGCGCAAGCCAAACCTTGGCTGCTTATTTAGGCTAGGAAGGGGTTTTTCAAGACAGAGGAGCGATGGCCCTTCTTCCCAAACAAGGAGAGGATTCCAAAGCCTCCCCTTTCACCTAAATTACAACACGAATCCTTCCCTTATAAACCAGGGTTTCTTGCATAAGCTTCATGCTGGGCCAAGGAGATACTCCAGTTTTTGCCTGGGTGCTTCCCACGCTTCGCTTTGACTGATTTAGATGGAGAGCTCTGATTGCGCCTGTGTTTTTGTTTTTGCTGCACCCCAGGACTCTTTCTGGGGCCCTGATTGGTGGGACACTTGGGAAAGTCCCACCCATCGCCATTCCCTTCCCGTCCATGCCTTGCAGAAGGGAATCTATCCTGCTGGGTCTGCCAGGGTTTTGTTTACCTTCTGGCTTGGCCGCCCCTGGGGCATTTTAGGATAAGCTCTCACATTGCCTTGGCTTGTTGTGCCAATTAGAAAGGCGTCTGGTGCAGGCCTCATGGTTTCACAATAGAGTTTTTCCTGTAAGGAATATTTAGCGGCATTTGGGGATTTCTTTTTTTAGTTTAGGACTAGGTGAAGAGTGAATGGGGCCTCTGCAGTTATACCTATTGTGAAGAATAGAGTTGGGCACTTTTTTCTCCTGCCTCTTCAGGTGGGAATTTAGGTATGATTGCGTTGTTGTAGGTTTTTTTGGGCTGTATGGCCATGTTCTAGAGGCATTCTCTCCTGACGTTTCGCCTGCATCTATGGCAAGCATCCTCAGAGGTAGTGAGGTCTATTGGAACTAGAAAAGTGGGTTTATATATCTGTGGAATGACCAGGGTGGGACAAAGAACTCTTGTCTGCTGAAGCTAGATGTGAATGTTTCAACTGACCACCTTGATTAGAATTTTAGGGCCTGGCAGTGCCTGGGGCAATCTTTTGTTGAAAGGTGATCAGCTACAGAGGGAAAGTGTTCTTGCCATACATCAAAGGAACCACTGACCGCATAGGGAAGCTGATGAGGAAACACAACATACAAACTATCTACAGACCTACCAAGAAAATTCAACAAATGCTACGTTCAGCAAAGAACAAGAGGGATCCTCTCACTTCTGCAGGAGTCTACCATATACCATGCAGCTGTGGACAAGTCTACATAGGGACCACCAAACGCAGCACCCAAACACGAATCAAGAAACATGAAAGGCACTGTAGACTACTTCAACCAGAGAAGTCAGTCATAGCAGAGCACCTGATGAATCAACCTGGACACATCATATTATTTGAGAATGCAGAAATGCTGGACCACTCTAAGACCCACCATGTCAGACTACACAGAGAAGCCATTGAAATCTACAAGCATGTGGACAGTTTCAACAGAAAGGAGGAAACCATGAAAATGAACAAAATCTGGCTACCAGTATTTAAAAAGTCTAAAATTCCAACAGCAAAACAACAGAGGAAAAACAATCAGGGACATCTAATCACCTCTCAACAAAAGATTGCCTTAGGCACTGCCAGGCTATCAAATACTAATCAAGGTGGTCAGTTGAAACATTCACACCTAGCTCCAGCAGACAAGAGTTCTTTGTCCCACCCTGGTCATTCCACAAATATATAAACCCATTTTCCTAGTTCCAACAGACCTCACTACCTCTGAGGATGCTTGCCATTGATGCAGGCGAAACATCAGGAGAGAATGCCTCTTGAACATGGCCATACAGCCCGAAAAAACCTATAACAACCCAGTGATTCCAGCCATGAAAGCCTTCGACAATACATTAGGTATGATTAATTGCAAATATTGAATGGCAAGAAGTTGAGGTTATGTCCAAAGAAAGTA